GAATGCCATTAAAGCGATGCAAAAGGGCAACTAAGTTGCTTTAAAAGCAAAGTTTTGTCATGTGTACAAGCACCCACAGATTCCAGAGCAAGGAGCAATAGTTCAAGTTGTAACAAAGGAAGTTTAGATTAGATATTACAAACTGCTCTCTCACTAGGAGGGTAGTAAAACACTGGAACAGGTTACCCAGAGAGGTTGTGGAATCTCCACCCTTATAGGTTTTTAAGACCCAGCTGGGAAGATTTTTAAGACTTGGCTGGGATAATCTAGTTGGGGATGATCTAGTTGAGGATGATCTTGCTTTGAGCAGAGGGTTGAACTAGATGACCTCCTGAGATCCCTTTCAACTGTAATTTTCTATGATTCTGTCTCCACTCCTCCCTCCCCTCTTCCCCCCCACACTGCACTGCCTGGCTTGTCTGACACTAACAGACAGGAATGGGGCTGAGTACTGTGCTGCACTGGGAGCAGGACTGTGCCATTCACAGCCCCATGGAGCTGGATTACCAGCCTCTTGGCCTATCCCCACCCACTGTGCAGGTAGTTTAACAGTAAAAACAAGTCTTGTTAAAGAATAATATGCTGGATTGGTGTGCTCAACCTCCAGCTCATGGGCCAAATTTGGCCCATGGAGCCACAGTATCCAGTCTTTGGGGCTTCCCATGGGTCAAGAAATTTGGCAATAGGGGAGCAGTGGCAATTAATACTGCCACCCCTTCCCCATGGCCAAATTATGAAGCTGTCTGCAGGTGGATTGGGCATGGGTCCCTCACCTCTCCCCCTCTGCGCACACAGTTGGATCAGGATTGAGCCAGCCGCCTCTCCCATCTTTCCAGAATGGGGCCAGGCTCAGCTGCTGCCATGCAGCCAGATCAGGGCCAGGCCAGGCTGGATACCACTCCACCCATGTGGCAAGATCAAGGCCACGCCAGACTACTGCCATGCATCCAGGTAGGGCCCAAGACCGCCCCCCTCCTTGTGGATCAGAGCTGGATCGGGCCAAGAGATTGCTGCATGGTTGGATTGGGCTCAGACTCTAGCTCTCCTCCCCTTCTCCCCCCAGCCCACCACACAGCCAAATTGAAGCCAGGGCATGCCATTTGGGCCAAGGCCACCCATCCAGCCCACGGGGCAAAAAGATTGGGCACCACTGTACTAGATCACT